AGCCCTAATAGTCTGATAGCCCCATAGCCCTATAGCCCTATAGCCCTATAGCCTCATAGCCTTATAGCCCTATAGCGCTATAACCCTATAGCCTCATAGCCTTATAGCCCTATAGCTCTATAGCCCCATAGCCCTATAACCCTATAGCCCTATAGCCCTACAGCCCTATAGCCCTATAGCCCTATAGCCCTATAGCCCAATCGTCCTACAGCCCTAGAGCCCGATAGCCCTAAGAGCTCTATGTGCCTATAGCCCTATAGCCCTATGGCCCTATTAGCCATATAGCCCTATAGCCCTATAGCCCGATAGCCCAATCGTCCTATGGCCCTAGAGCCCTATAGCCCTTGTAGCCCTGTAGCCATATAGCCTTATAGCCTTATAGCCCTACAGCCATATAGCCCTATAGCCCCATAGCTCTATATATGCCTATAGTCCTATAGCCCTATGGCCCTATAGACCTAAAGCCCTATGGCCCTATAGACCTATAGCCCCATAGCCCTAAGCCCTAAAACGGTTCTGATTGGATGTTTCTCCTGTATCATTTTTTTGCACTGGTTTGCATTGAACTGGACGTCTGTGGATTGCTCTGCGTTGCTTTGCATAGCTCTGTACATGGCTCTGTCCATTGTTCTGCATTGCTTTGCGTTGCTTTGCATTGCCTTGCGTTTTTGTTGTTCTTCTGACTTGCTATGACTTGCTTCACATTCCGCCGCGTGTGTTGCATTTAGTCACTGATTGGGGTCCACGCCTGGATCGTCAAGGAAGTCTCAAGAGCACACTTTGAACACGATCCGCCCTCCATCCGAGTACCTGCTCGGAACCTGGGGTCGAATATGCGCGGGGCTAAGGGCGGGAGCCACATATTCAAAACCACCCTCCCTTCATCCGCGTATCTGCAGGACCTCCCAAGCTGCAGAATCGTAACCGGCGAGGACGTCTCATTCGAGACGTCCGTCCGCCCTGGCGACGCGTCTGGTGGTGCAGCGAGGGGGATTCGTTTACAAGGACGAGCGCTCTAGAGGGGGGAAAAGGACGACGAGAAGGGGCTGGGGGGAGGAGAAGCCGGTGGAGGAGGGGGATCGGAAGGAGGCGTAGCAGGAGGAGGAGGAGGAGGAGGAGGAGGTGGAAGAGGAGGAGGAAGAGGAGGAGGAGGAGGAGGAGGAGCAGGAGGAGGAAGATGCGGAGGTGGCAAGTTAGCTTCCTCCCCGTTCCTGGCCCCCAGAGGTTCTCGCAGGCCTCTGGAGGGCTCAGGAAGCCCAGCAAAGAGAGAACACATCCAAACACCTTTCGCAAGCGTCCAGAAGCCGTCCTACTCGACCCTCGATGGTCTCTCTCTCAGTCTCTCTCTCTCTGTCTCTGTTCTCCCTCTCTCTCTTGGTCAGTTTCTCTCTCTCTCTCTCAGTCTCTCCCTGACTCTGTCTCGGTCTCTCTCTCTCTCTTTCTCTCTGTGTGTCTATGCCCAGCAGAGTACATTCGCATACACACATACACCCATACACCCATACCCATACATATATATATATATATATATATATATATATATATATATATATAATATAAACAAATAGGCCCCCCCCCCCCGGCGGGGCCGCCCACTCCGCAACCATCGGGGAACGCTTTTTAATACCCCCTCCCCGGGGCCTCCAAGGAGCCTCCAAGGAGCCTCCAGACGACCCAAGAGGCCTCCAAGACGGCCCCAGGAGGCCCCCAGGATGGTCCAAGAGGGCCCCGAGGCGGTCCCAGATCGCTCCAAGACGCCCAAGATGGTCCCAAGACGGCCCAAGGGGCCTCCAAGACGCCCCAAGAGGCCTCCAAGAGGCTCTCCAAGAGGGCCCCAAGAGGCTCGAATCGTTGATTTTCCATTGTGTTTTTCGATGTTTTTGGCTTTCTCTCCTTTTGGGCTCCCTGGCGCTCCAAGACGGCCAAGAGGCACCCAAGATCGCCCCAAGACGGCCCAAGAGGCCACCAAGACGGCCCCAAGACGGCCCAAGAGCGCCCCGGGACCGCTTAAGAGGCCTCGAAGACGGCCCAAGAGAGTCCCAACACGGCTCCAAGAAGGGGCCCAGACGCGGGATCCGAGCGCACTTTACGGGCCCTCGGCCCCAAGAGCATCCCCAGAAACCACTAGAGGCTCCCAAAGGCCCCCAAGAGCCCCCCGGGAGGCCCCCAAGAGCCCCCGAGCAGGCACCGAAACGAGCCCCATGCGATTTCGGACACTTTCATATGCACCCCTTCTTCCTTCCGATCCGTTCCGTTGAGCTGCCTGCATTGAGTAGCATGTGCATTGCATTTCAATTCAACAATAATGCTGTGAATCGCGCTGCATTTGCAACGTTTGGCGTTTGTTTTACTACTCGCATTGGTCTGCATGGCGTTGCATTCGATACGTCTGTGTGCGCCCTCGTGTGTACTACGGCCCTGTTCGGTCTGCGCCATTGTTACCTCTCCAGTTCATGCTCCTGCCATTGGTGGTTACGTGCACGCGTGCACATGTTAGCTTTGAGAGGATGGGGGCTGCTGGAACCTCAGCGCGCTCGAACTGCGCGTGTGGTGTTAGTTGGGGCCGAGGGTGCGAGCTTAGCGTGCACATGTTAGCTTTGAAAGGATGGGGGCTGCCGTTGTTTCTGTGGCCTCCTCGTCCTCCTCCGTCGGGACAGCCCATGTCTACTTAGCTGATCTCGGTGCCGACGCCCACTCCCTGACCACCCTCTTCCTCTGCAGCCTGGGGTGTCTCCTCGTCGTCGTCGTCGTCGTCGTCGTCGTTCTCGCCGTCGTGGTGCCATCACACTCGGCGGCAAGCAGAGGGGGGAGGGGCGAGGGGGGTGGCCTTCTAAGCAGCCGGGGAGTTTCTAAGAAGGTGGGAGCCTCCTTTCAAGTGCTCGGGGGCTTCTAGGAAGGCTTCTTGAAGCTCTCCCGGCTTCTAAAAATCCCCTTGCATTCTTAAAACCCCCCTGGCTTCTTAGACGGCCACCCCCCTGGCGCGACCCCCTTGTGCGCGCCGCCAACACACCCTCTGTGTCGCCGCGGCCGCTTGGGTGCGAGCCGTGGCCGCGCTGGGGGGCTGCCCGGGGCGCGGGGTCGCCGGAGATAGAGGGATGGTGAACACGACCATGACGATGACTACGATGGTGATGATTGCGATGATGACGATGGTGAGGATCCTGGCTAGAACTTGAGCGCGCGCGAAGCGCGCGCGATGGTTCTAGTATATATATATGTACATGTATACATACAGATAAAACATAAAAACTAGTCCTGCTTCCATTACCATGTTTGGTATTCCCCTTCTCCTTGTCTTTGTTTAAGAGGCTTGCGACATCCCGCCGACCCCCAGAAGAGGAGATGTGCGGCGTCCGACTTCGTACGTGTTGCCTGCGTGTAGTTCTCAGCTGGTTCGTCCTGCTCTTCCCTGGCGTCTGTTGTGGGGCTTCTTGGTTGCCTCTTGGAGGCCTCGTGGAAGGCCGCTTGGGAGCTCTGATTTCAGGGCTCCTGGGAGCTTTCGGCGGCCGTCGGGGGCTTACTTGGGGCCTTTGTGGGAGCTTCACGGCGTTTTGATTGGGGCTTGGGTGCCATCTGGTGGGGGAGGGTTCCTGGTCCCCCGACGAGTTTCCCCTCTTGGGCCCCCTCTCGGGGTTCTATGGATGGTTTGATAGTTTGATCACCCTTTGTTCTTTGTCCTTGTTTCTGTGTTTCCTCACCTCCCCCTTATTCTGTCATTATGTCATGCTCTTTTCCCCCCTCACATTTTTCGTGGCCCCATAGGCACCTCCACCGAAGGCCCCAGCAGCAGGGTCCGCATGGCGTACCTGCACCTGTTTCGGCGAACCGCTCACACGCTTCGTGGCCCCATAGGGAGAAGGCCCCAGCGGCAGGGTCCGCATGGCGTATCCATACCCGATGCGGAACACCACCCACACGTTTCGTGGCCCCCTAGGGAGCCCCCCAGCAGCAGCATGTAATACTCGCATACGATTCGGCACACACCTGACACGTTTCGTGGCCCCCCCCAGGGAGCTCCACAGATGGCCCCAGCGGCAGGGCTCGCATGGCGTACCTGCGCTCGATTCGGCGCACCGCTCACACGCATCGTGGCCCCGTAGCGAGCTCCACTGAAGGCCCTAGCAGCATGATCCGCATGGCGTACCCGCACCCGATTCCACCGTTCACACGTCTCGTGGCCCCGTAGGCAGCTCCACAGGAGGCCCCAGCAGCAGGGTCTGCATGGCGTACCCGCATTTGGTTCGGCGCTCCTTTCACTCTTTGCGTGGTCTCCTGGGGAGCTCCACGGAAAGCTCCAGCGGCAGGGTCTGTATGGCGTACTTGCGCCCGATTCGGTACATCAGTCGTACGCTTCGTGGCCCCCTAGGGAGCTTCACCGAGGGGCCCAGCGGCAGGTTCCGCACGCTGCACCCACACCCGATGCGGCACGCCCCTCACACGTTTCGTGGTCCCATGGGGAGGTCCACGGAAGGCCCCAACGGCAGGGTCCGCATGGCGTGCCCGCGCCCGATTTGGCGGACCGTTCGCACGCTTCGTCGTGGCCTTAAAGGGAGCTCCACCGATGGCCTCAGGGGCAGAGTCCGCATGGCGTGCCCGCGCCTGATTCGGCACTCTCCTCGCACGTTTCGTGGCCCCATAGGGAGCTGCACCGACGACTCCAGCGGCAGCGTTCCCTTGGCAACTTTTTTCTATATATGTTAGAACCGTACATGCCACTCATATACACACATGCACACATACACATGCACACATACGTACACACAGTTCTATCGTATAGTTGTGTATTTGTATTTCCAGATTTGTATATCTGTATACATTAATGCACACATGGAAACATATATGTATGTGTACGGTATGTCCATGCATTTTTGGTGTTCCTTCGTGTTTGTTGCTCTATGTACGTATAGGCATATGCATACATATGAATAGATAGATATATCGACACCCTCGCCCTTCCGTCCTCCCTCCCCCGCGGGGGGGGGCGACCGAATTACGACCTGATGCTGGGGCCAGCGCTTATGGGGATGGCGGGGGCCGGCATGGTGGGGCCACCACAGGGCGGCGTGGCGCCGCCCAAGGCCGAGAAATTGCAGGCGAAGAAGGAGAAAGACATGAAGGCCGACAGGGATGGCTGGGGAGGAGGGGGGTCGAAGAGAGGAGTGGTGACGAGGGCAGTGTGGATGCCATGGTCAGGAACATGGCATCTCCTAGATGTCGGGCGTGGGGGCGGGGGGGGTGGCTGGGAGGAAAGGGAGGGGTGGAGCTGCGGTGCAGGGGAGGGGGGAAATCAGAGTACGTGGGGGGCAAGGAGGGGGAGTTGGCCGGGGATGGGGGAGAGAGGTTGTAGGGGAGATGAATAGACAAAGGGGCGGAGGAGGTGGGAACACGACGATAAGGATAAACAGTGGGAGAGGAAGGAGGAAGAGGAGGAGGAGGAGAAGGAGGAGGAGGAGGAGAGGAGGAGGAGGAAGGGGAAGAGGAGGAGGAGGAGGATGAGGAGGAGGAGGAGCATGAGGAGGAGGAGGGGAGGAGGAGAGAGGAGGAGGAAGGAGGAGGAGAGGAGGAGGAGGAGGAGGAGGGGGGAGGAGGAAGAGGAGGAGGAGGACGGGAGAACGAAGAGGAGGAGGACAAATATAAACCCAAAACGCATCAACGATTTTGCAGTAAACCCTCCCTCCAATTTACCTCTCCGCAGGCTCTTGTGATGATCATGTTCATTCCGCTGCGAGAATAGCCCCGCTGGAAGACAAACTCTTCTTAATGTCCAACCGGGCCAAAGAACTTACAGACGCAACTGTGCGGCGTCCGGGCGAGAGTAATTTTTTGGAGAGGAGCGGCTTTCATCAGTGCAAGCTCTTGCAGGCTTTAAGACGAATGCGCGCGACGCTGAGGCGGAGACCACATGTTGAAAACGACCCGCCCTTCATCAGTGAAACTGTTGCACATGTCAAGCGTCAGGGTCACAACTAGTGGGATAATCTCAGGCAAACGTCTGGCCTGCCCTATAAGGAAGAGGGATGGAGGAGGAAGAGGAGAAGGAGGAGGAGGAGGACGAGGAGGAGGAGGAGGAGGAGGAGGAGGGGGAGGAGGAGGAGGAGGAGGTCGAGGAGGAGGAGGAGGCGGAGGCGGAAGTGGTGGAATGCGAGGGGACGTCGTGCAGACTGCGCCCAGCTGGTGGCAGGTCACCACGGTGTTTGTGGGCGGGCTTCGCAAGAGCACTAGCGAGGACAAGGTCGCTGGGCATTTTGCCAGGTTCGGCCAGATTGACAACGTGGACATCAAGCGCCAGCCCGACGGCACTTCCCGTGGTTTTGCTTTTGTGAAGTTTTTGGACAAGGACCCCCAGGGTGAATCTACAAAGTCGTCCACCTCACTTCTTGTCGCTCCACCTTGCCCTCTTCGCTGTGCTCCAGCTACGGTTCCAGGTCTCGCTCCTGTTGCTGCTGCTGCTGCTGCTTCTGCTGCTCTCCTATACTACTGGCCTTCCTCCCTGGAAGTTGTCTGGCAGATCTCCCGCCACCTCTGCGTGCTGTTTTTGGTTCTACAGATGAGTTCAAACATTGATGTGTCCTATGGTTTTATCAATCGATTTGTTTTCGGTGTTTCAAAATTCTGCCCCCGCTGCAGCGTGGGACTCATTTCCGGATCAGCGCATTGCTCCCGTCGTTCAGAATGGCGCTCTCGCCCCAGCGCAGGCCATTTTTCTGGATCCGAGTCTTGCTCCCTTGCGGTCCCCCCCCCTCATTTCCCTTCCTCCGCTTTCCCCTGCTCCTCCAGTTCCTCCCGCTCCTCCACTCCAATTCCTGCTGCTGCTGTTCGTCTCGCCCCAGCGCGGGCCACTTTTCTGAATCCGAGTCTTTTTTCATTGTTGTCACCCCTCCCATTTTTCCTCCTCCGCCTTCCCCCCGGACCTTCTTTCCCTCCCGATCCTTCCGCTTTAGTTCCTTCAGCTGCTGTTCGTCCTCATGCTTTTCCTCCCGCTCATCCTCCTGCTCACCCGATACCTCCTCCGCCTGTGCACGCAGCTCTCCTTTTTCTGTGTGAGTCGCAGGTCGGCTATGACACGCATCCGCGGATAGAGAAAAATCAACGCCAAGGAACGGGAGAATGGGATGGTAGAGAGGGATAGGATGTCAGATGAGGCGCGAGCGCACCTAGCTTGTCCCCCCCTTCTGCGCCTACGCTCGTCTCCGCCTCCCTCCCTCCGATCCCTCCCTCTCCTCCTCCCCCTCCTCTCCTCATTTCTCTACCTCCTCCTCCCCCTCCTCCGTGGCCGTTTTGGCTCCAGCTAGACTTGAGTAAAACCAGCTGTCACGGGACTCCATGCGGCACTACGTGCCGCACGGCACGCGACTTCCGCCGCGAGCGCGCCTTGGCTTGCCACTCCATTCTGCGCGCTTCCAGCTTGCTGGCAGGGCTCCACGTCTCCACCTGCAGCCGACCTCTCGTAGTGGGCAGTGCGCCGCAGCAGCCTTCCATGGCAGCGGATCCTCCTTTCCT